TCCCACTCACCTCATCTCACTTGGGGGGGGGGGGGAAACTTATAGGAAAACTGCAGAGTTATCACTTACTTCTTCCTGAGACAGCTGCTTTCTCTGCCTCTGCCAGAAGGAACCACTATCACTTCCACTTGCTGCAAGCATACATTTGGTGCTGTGAGGTGGTGGAGGTGGGGAGTAGGTGGAAATGAGGCTGCAGGGGGTGATGTCCGTATGTGGGAGGGAGAGATCTTGGAGTAGAAAGATTGGGGCTTCAGGAAACAAGAGTCACTAAAATACAACCTTAACAGGAATAGAAATGACTCTGGGTATAATCTGTGTATAGTTAACTAAGTGCAGAGATGGGGTCTTCTAGGAAGATATTTGGTCTAGGAATAGTGTAGAGAAGACAGCAAACATCCTCAGTGAAAAATCGGTATCTATATGGATCTCTGGTGGCCTAGTGGTAATAAGCTTTGCTGCAATCCTGAAGGTACATGGTTCAAATTCACCAGCTGTTCTGTAGGACAAGGATGGACAATCTCCTCCTGTATGATTTACTGCCTCTGAAAACTTGCTACAGGGTCAGCTATGGGTCGGTCTGACTCTACAGTACATAACAAGAAAGGCATTTGACTATGTTGATCACAACAAATCACAGCTAACATTGAGGAAAATTAAAATCCCAGACACTTAATCGTGCAAAACCTATAACTTACACCAAAAAGTTATTATTTGAACAGAACAAGGAAATACAGCATGCTTGAAAATCCAGAGAGACATGCATCAAAGCTGTATCTTTTCTACATACCCATGCAATCTGTATGATGAGCAAATCATTTGAGATTGACTTCATGATTAAGAATGTGATATCAGGATTGGAGGGAGACTAATCAGCAACATTCAGATTACACAGCCTTGCTGGCTGAAAGTGAGGACTTGAGCTTGTTGCAGAAAATCAAAGATTACAACTTTCAAAATGGATTATATCTCAACATTAAGAAAACAAAGGTCCTCACCACTGGAAAAACAGGCAACATCACAATAGATGGAGAAAGACTGAAGTTGTCAACAATTTCATCTTACTTGGATTCACAATCAATACCCTTGTACCAGTAGTCAAGAAATAAAAAAACACACTGCATTGGAAAAACCTGCTGTCAAGGACCTCTCCAAAGTTCTAAGAAGCAATGATGTCTGTTATAAAAACTAAGGTGCACCTGGTTCAAGCCATAGTCTTTTCATTTACTTGCTATGCATGTGAAAGTTGGACAATGAATAAGGATGATAGACTAAGAATCAATGGCTTTGAGCTGTGATGTTGGAGAAGAGTACTATCTCATGGACTGCCAAAAGAACAAGCAAATACATCTTGGAGGAAGTGCAACCAAGATGCTCCTTAGATGCAAGAATAGTGAAACTTCATCTCACATACTTTGGGCATGTTGCTAGGGGGGGATCAGTCCTTGAACAAAACCATCATTCTTGCAAAGGTGGAGGGTCAGCAAAAGAGAGGAAGGTACTCAATACAGTGGCTCTAACAATAGGCTCAAGAATATCAGAAATTATAAGGATGGTACAGGACAGGACAGAGTACAGATCTGCTGTTCATAGGGTTAACTATGACCCATAGTTAACTTGACAGCACCTAACAACAACAACAACACTGGATGGAAACAGAAATCTTAACGAGAAAGTGAGCTGCTAGCAACATCCAAATCAATCACATCTCACACCTTCATAGTTCATTATGACAGATATCTGTAGCCAGGGGTAGTTTAATGTATATGTGGAGAATTTAAGAAAACTTAAAAAAAATTTTTAAAGATCCTCTCCAGGCAGCACACCCTGGACCCTGCATCCCACAAACTAGGGGCTCAGCTCCAGGTGCCTGTGTGGTCCATGTGGTCCTTGAGGGTCACAGTCCAACAGTGTCCCTTAGGGTTTTCAGTGACTAGATTTTCAGAAGGTGACCAGGCCCCTCTTCTGAGGTGCCACTGGGTGGATTCGAACCCCCCAATTTTTCAGTTAACACTGTTTGTACCACACAGGGACTACCAAGTTGGTTTAGGGAGAGTGAAAAGCACACATTTATGTAGAACATTTACATATTACATATGCTAAGAGGTTCCATCCTGGGCTTAAGCCTTCACCTCTGTGGCCATCTAGTTCCTACAACATCCCACTAGTAGATACTATTGTTGTTACTTTTTTATAGAGGGGAAAACTGAGTTTTAAATCTATAAAACCAGAGCTAATGAGGAAAGAGTCTGTATTTTCCTGTTTGCAGCATGACTCCTCCCCATTGCCCACACATGGGGTCTTTTACTGTGACTTTCTGTTACTGGATTGGAGGAATTCAGGAAAAACCTCACTCAGCCCTTTCCCACAGAGTCTCGGTCAGTGATAGCTACTTCCCGGCTGGGAAAAGCAGCCCTTAAGTCAGCAGCAAAATAGATCTCACAGGTCCCCCAGAGTTGTTGCAGCTCCCAAAAGCCTCAGCTTGCTGGCCCTCCAGGACTGGAGGCCAGGGTTCTCCCAATGGAAACTAAGGTGAGTGTGTCTCCATTGCCAAGGAAGAAGGGACTCAGGGCTCTAAAATAACTGGCTTTTCTGGATGATCTACAGAACTTCCATGGGATGAATTAGAGGGGCAGGGGTAGGGGGTGTGTCCCCATTCATAGCCCAAATAACAAGACAACAATGGTGTCTTTCTAGAGACTAAGGTGCGCCTGATACAGGCTATGGCCTTTGCAATCACTTGTTATGCATTAGAGAGTTGGACAATGACTAGGGAGGATAGAAAGAGAATAGTTGCCTTTGAGCTGTGGTGCTGGAGAAGAGTATTGAATGTACCATGGTCTGCCAAGAAAACAAACAGGTTCCTGGAGAGGGTTAAACCAAGCTGCTGCTTGGAGGCAAGGATTCTGAGGCTCCGTCTAACATACTTTGGACATGTTGTGAGGAGAGACCGGTCC